GGAAAGGTTAGGATGAAATCCAAATTGTTCACTAGCCAAGATATCATTAGCACAGATATGTGTTAATAATCTTCTAAAGATAATTTTTTCAAACACCTTGGAAAATGATGTCAACAAGGAGATTGGTCTATAATTAGAACAATCTTCTCTATTTCCCTTCTTATATAGAGGGCTAACAATCGAATATTTCATGTGTAAGGGAAATTTACCAGCTGATACTGCCTTATTTAATACACAACATAACAGGAAAGAAATGTATGGGGCACTTATTTTTAGTATCTTCAATGAAATCTCATCATATCCAGAAGAGTTTTTGGAAGGTAAAGAAGAGATAACTTTTTCACTTATTTCAATAAAAGAAGTAGAAATGTCTCCTGATTACTTGAGCTACATCTGTACAAAAACAGACTACAGAACTATCAATACCATGAAAAAAATCGATCAAAGATACCATAGTAGTGAGACATGCCTGCTGTCATGCTAAGACCCCCTCCCCATGAAATATGTAGGTTAAATCGGCAGAAGTTTAAAAATTAATTACAATGAACACATATTAGCCATAAAATGAAACAAAACTTATTAATATACATGCTCTTCTTTCTTTCATGTACATGGGGGTACCCATAGAAGGAAACTTTGTAGTTGTTTTGTTCTGAAAACTGAGCAACTACAGATAACCTGCTCTAGTCAAATGAAAACCTTAGTTCTTGTCAGAGCCAGGTGAGAGGAACTAGCTGGTGCCCTTAGCTCTAAAGAGGACATCAAGCACTTAAATTTAAGAAAGGGCAGAAATTACAAAAAGTCCCTTTCTCAGGGAGCAGACCTCATTAATCTTAGGAGAGAGGATTTATGTGGATTTGAGTGTGAAACCACCAGTGAAAAACATGTGGAACAAATCTGATGATGCTTTTCAAATAGACTTCAGAAATGTAAACACAAAAGTGCTTTCAAATTGCAAATGCCACACTCAGCAGTGTACAAGTAGCTGCATAAGACTTTGAGGCTGCAGATATACTAGAATAAAATTCTACAAACTCTCAAGTCCACTGATTGCTGCCAGTGCTATGCATTCATCACTGGCATGTTAAAGCTACTAGAGGAGCCAATAATTTTTAAACTATTAAATTTTCATGAATAAGGCTGCCTTTCATACCTAAGTGCATGCCAAATTCTACTCTATTCAAATCTGAGGTACTGAAAATCCCCATATTTCCAAATCAATGCATAATTATCATGGGACACTATTTGTTTAATACATAAACGTCAATATAAATTCTGCAAAGCAATGTTCCCTCAAGTGGCTAACCTCCAAGAACTGATTTTCCAGCAGGACAGTGCTCCACCACATTGGGGCAAGGAGGTTTAAGATTACTTTGATGTGAATTTCCAGGTTACTGTATAAGTCAAGGAGGCCGAATCCTATGACCACCTCATTCTCCTCACATAACACACTAGATTTCTTCTTATGGGAGTATGTCAAGTACCTTATGTATTCTAGAACGTTAAACACATAGGAGGATGGACATGAAGAAAGTGTAATTGTTTCTCTTGTACCTGTGAACACAAATATGCTTGAACGAACCTGACAACAGCTAGCATATTGATTTCATGCCCTTTCCTTAAGAGAGGTTCCTCATATCAAAGTGAACTGAAGAGGACTGTTATAGTGCAGCATTAACTTTTTGGAGTTTTCTTTTCAATTCATCAAACACTGTTTATTGGTATTCACAGAGATTCAAAGTTGTTGACACACAGAGTAAGCCCACATAAATAATGCATTTGTTGTTATTTAGTTTAATATCCTATCACTAAGGTATATAAAGTAAGATACAATTGATGAAACATACACAAAATTACACACTCAAATGTAACTACTGTAGGTGGTAATTTGGCAAATAAAATTCATATGAATAACACAATCTAACTGTAAAAGTCAGATAAAAGGGTTCAAGTACTTACTCTTAATTGTATCTCCTGATGCATCTACACAGAAGGCAATTGAAATGAAAAATGCGAAAATCTCTTCAGTTGATCTTGTAGACCAGTGCATAATTCGAGACACATCAAACAATGCATAGATGACCAAGAATAAGCTGTTCCACAGTCCAACACAGCAGTATACAGCAAAGAAGTCTAAGTCAAAGTCTTCAGAGATAATGTGAATAACTGAAAATAAAATATTAATCAACTGATTCACATTTGCATACTACATGTTATGTTTAGTTAGACTTAGGTGTCATGTTATTGGGATAATACAAAGAGATCCAAGCAGATGTGAGTTTTTTATAACTGCGGCAGTTATATACTGCCTTTATAGGTGAAACACATGAGGCACAATCAATGTATCCTTTTAAACCTTCTTCATAAACCAGAATTAATATTTGCAATCTAATGGATGATGTTATTGTAGAGAAGAATTTGCCAAAATAACTGTGTCTGAAGCTAGTGGGGTAATTTATAACATTGTCAGTATCTAGCTTACATAACACTGAATAGCAGAACTGATGAATTGCAAAGGATCTGAAAGGAAGCAGTCATGGCATTTTGCCTCAAAAGAGTGAGGAAAGCCTTGAAAAACCTCAGTCAGTATACCCAGTATCCCAGTGGAGTTGTTTCCACACAAGCAACAACAGACGTTCTAGGCCACTGTCATTCTGTTTTGGCAGCCAACACTTCCAGATACTTCAGGAAAATTTCCTTCCATCATTAGGCAAACACCTGTGTTCATCTCTTTGTTTACCACAGCTTCATCATGAAAAAACTTATGGTGCAAAATGCCTGTCAAATAAAAAGTACTTCCAGCATCATCTTCCACTTGAGCAATTCTGTTGGGACTTCATGGCTTGTACATTGTAATTTCATTTCATTTCATTTATTCACCTTCCATAAATCCTGTCGAGAATACATTCTCATGCAGACGTGGAGATCATCCTAGTTACAGTCACAACTAAGAATTACAGTTGTCATCCAATAGCATACACATTTGTAATAAAATACTGATAAACATATACAATGTAATAAATAAGTTAATATTAGTAGTAAAAGTAATTTACTATTTGTATAGTTTTATACAAGTCTATTAATTAAAAGCTCAGTAGTTAAAACACAATGTCATCAATGAGTTTTGTATAACATACATTAATAGTATAATAAATTGAAATAAAAAAAGTATACAGTGATATAAAGATTGTGTATATCTAAAATAAGCAACTAAAAACCAGAACACAGACTGACAACCTTGTCTTCTTTTAATTGCAAAGCAAGACAGCTACTCGCATCTTAAAAAGATTTATAACAGAAATATTCCTGTAAACAATAAAAAGAATGTAAATGTAAAAATTGTTTCAATTGTACTTCAAAACTCTTAGTGTCACTCGATATATCCTTAATGTGTTGTGGTAGATTATTATAGATCTTTGTTCCTAAACAATAAACTCCCTTTTGGTATTTACTCAAATTTACAAGAGGCTGATGGAGATTATTTTGCTGTCTGGTATTTATTCTATGAATCTCTGAATTTACTGTGAATTTGTTTCTGTTTTCTATCACAAAGAGCATAAGAGATAGTATGTACTGAGATTTCTAATTCTCTAATTTACATTTGGGATCACATGAGAACTTCAGGTTTCATAACCTCTCGCAAACTTTCAGGTGTGGATAATAACAATTTTCTGCTGTTTTGCTCACCTCAGCAATGACCTACTTCAACTTGTTCATTGTTCTTTTGTCAGCATTCTTGATACAAGGTGCTGATATAGGTAAAGCATCTTCACTTCTTACTGAGGTCTAAACACTGATAAACCCATATTCATGAGGTCCTGGGTTTAAATCTTGAGCAAGAAACTAGCTATTGTGTTGGAGGCTTTTCATGGTTCTCACCTGCAATCAAGTGCTGGGATAGGACTTCATGCTGGGCCATGACTCTTTCTTTCCACATCCTTTTCGATCTTTCATTAATCATTCTACCATTCAATTCTGTACAGACTGCTCTACTGACAATGTCATGAAATAAACCACGAACTAATAATACTGAGGTTAAGATAATAAACTACAACCTGAAATTCTTTCTCTGTAATCATCTCATTGATAGGTAGGATGATTAATGAATAATGAACTGAAAAAGGATATGGAGGCCAAAAGTCATGGCCTAATTTGAGAACTATCCCATCACCTGACTGAAGATATAAAGAGAAATCACAAAGAATCTCCTGTAACTCCATCATATTGTCTTCATTCCATAATGCATCAACATCTTCTGACTAATAGCCATCTTTGAACAAACACCTTAGGCATCATTTGGTCAGTGTTCATCACATACAATTTCAAAAGCAGTTTCATTGCCAGTTATCCCTATCACTGAATGGCAGCACCACAGCTCAAGCGGTTAGTTGCTGGCTTCCCACCATGGTGGCCTGGGTTCAATCCCGGGTCTGGTCAAGGGGGATTTGTGGTGGACAAAGTGGCGGTTGGGCAGGTTTTCTCAGAGTACTTCGGTTTCCTCTGCTAATCTTCATTCCATCAAATTCTCCATCATCATAATCACCCAAGGCAGGCTACAATAGGCCAATCAGTGGCCACCATGCCGAGTGGACCCAGTTGGACTCCACCCCCCACTAAGCGAATTAAAAAAAATTATCCTTATCACTGACAAAATTAGATTTTAACTGCTGCTGAAGGCAATCAAGCTTACATGTTCAAAAACTCCTACATGCCGTGTTTTTCTCTGGGACATGTAACTCATGATAGTCTCAAGGCAACTGAATAATTAAGCTGTATTCAGTGTGGGGGGGGGGGTGCATGTCAAGACATGCATAACCAAGCTTCAGCCTACCTATCTGGCATCATTGTGATGACTTCAGTCCTGGAACACTCTGAAGATACAAGAAGCATACAGTAAAATAATATACATAATGTGAGATAAAACTAGACTCACATTCATGCAGGGAACATGCACAGGGGTGCACTCTTGAAGATACATGCACTCATAAATATGCACATCCTATTGACTTACTCTTTATATACAATGCAAGTGGTGCTGTAGTAAGAAGAATCAATAATGGCTGTCCACTAAACACAACATAAAAAATACCTCCTATGGTTTGACCAGCAATCACCTTCTTCACATCTGAAAGTAATATGAGACAAATAAAAAATATGATTCATATGTTTTTTTAAAGATTCATGTTCCATAAATGTAGCTACATATAGGCAGAACTAAGTAAGACTTACAAGAGTCTTTCTCCAAATGTGTTTTGAAATTGACCCTTAATTCCTTAATTGACAACACATCTCGGAGATTATCCTTAATATGTACATTCTACATCACAGAATCCTGACCATACCAAATACAGAAACATCTACAGACATAAGTGTTCTTCTTTTTTTTTTTTCATCTGAAGTCAATAATTTGTATCTCTCACATGCAAGGTCTTATGAATATTCATGTCATTGGTATTGTTAATTGCTAAAAATTAAAAATAAAATTATGGATTCTTCTGATCTTGTGACTGCATTATATGCATGATACATAAAAGAGGAAGTAAAGCATTCCATTCCACGTCTAGAGAACTATTTGTGTAGTATCATGCATACAGGACATGAGAAGTGAAATTTTGTTTACTTTAGTTATATTTTATTTTCTCTTGCATCCTTCATCAGGTGCTGGAAAATATCATCTAAGCTGTAAAATCAATAAAGTATAGTACAGCAATGCTAGTTAGTGTCATTTAAATTTTATCTTCAATCCTATATAGATTGTTATTTCAAATTGAAGGTCTCACAGACTTTAATATCTTAGGAAACTGCATGCCAAGATTCTGTCACTGTATAGGATGTGTGATTTTTAACATTCATTATTTTGAAACATACCTTTACTCTCAAGTCCCAAAATGAATATTTTGCAGGAGCATTATACATTTTGTTAAATGAGAAACTTGTTACAGGTTAATGATATTATATGTTGGATTTGTGTTTCTCACAGCAGTGACTATGAAGAGTATTGTGTTGTGGGATGTAGAAATCAAGTGTTGTCTCAGAAGAATGCTGGCAGATTTCTGCCACACTGTGTGCCTACAGATCCCAGAAGGCAATACTCTTAAAGATGATCCACCAGAGTGTTAAAACACAATTACTCTATAGTGCAAAATATGTTGAATATGATAAAGAATTTCCATGTTTATAGAGATAAAATACGAGGAATGCTGAAAAGAGACAGAATTAATACATAATATTATGATTTACCAATTTTTCCTTCTGTATTATGATCATTAAGGACACCGAATGCAATGGCTGGCAAAACGCAAGCAAAGTAGAGGAACATAGTTGTGGAAATGATCTTGTGAATTGTACGAGTATCCATAAACCCATCACGATAATCAGATATGTAATGAGGAAGCCGACGGAAGATATCACCACGAATTCCTCTTCCAAATTGACAGAGTTTTTCTTCCTGTAATTGAACATGCATTATAAATTAGGTAGTCAATAAGCTCGTTCTATCCTACACAAAACTAATATTTTTAAAAAGATCAGCAGAAGTGTCTAAAGAAGTGTATGTATATAATAGCCTTTAATATGTCTCACTGGATTTAAAATTAATGCAACTTCTGGAGAAACGAATAGGAGCACTTGCTCCTTTTCATGTGATAATGGATCATCATACTCTGATTTAAAAAAAGCAAACAAGGAGTTGAACAGAACACACAAATCCTACTCTCCCACTGCATAGATTTCTACTGATAAAGTTCCATTACTATTATTTATATTATTTTTTAGAACTTCTTTCTTGAATATATATATTGTACATATATTAAATCTGTTAAGTATAACCTCGAAGTTTCATGCCTCTGCTATGTTTTTAATCACTGACTTACATGCAGTATTACATATGTAATATGTGTAATATGCAGACCCATTTACTAGGTGGTTCAAATATGACCGGGACTGATTTTTTTGTAAACAAGCCGCACTGCGCAGCAGCTGTGCAACCTTGAGAGAGTGAAGCCACAACCTCCACCCTCCCTCCTGTTAGGGTTAGAACCTGTTCAGTCCTGTCTGGAAGTTGCTAGAGTGATGAGTGAACAGACGGTACCACGGAGCGTGGAACAACGCATTGTGATCAAATTCCTCGTTGGAGAAAATGTCCCGTCCGCTGAAATTCACCACAGACTCCAACAACAGTATGGGGAAGAGTGTCTCTCACAGACCAGTGTGTTTGAGTGGTGTAAGTGCTTCAGAGGGCAGAGAGCACATGGAGAATGAACCGCATGATCATCGGCCGCGAACATCTGTCACCAAGCCAAACATTGATCGTGCAGACACACTTATTTGTGAGAATAGGCGCATCACTATCAAGGAACTTGGAGCAATGCTGTCCATCAGTGTTGGTAGTGTAGAAGACATCATGAAATACCACTTGCACTATCGCAAGGTGAATGCAAGGTGGGTACCACGCACTTTGATGGATGTGAACAAAATGGTGCGCATGCAAGTTGCCAGTCGTCTCCTACAGCAGTTTGAAGACGAAGGTGATGCATTTTTGAAGTCTATAGTGACCATCGATGAAACATGGGTGCACTACTTCATTCCCGAGTCCCAGCAATCATCACGCGAGTGGCGGCATACCAGTTCTCCCAAACCCAAGAGAGCGCGGAGGAGCCGTTCGGCAGGCAAAGTGATGGCAACGTTCTTCTGGGACTGGCAGGGGGTTACCCATGTAGACTTTCCGACAGATGCCCCAACAGTCAATGCAGCTTATTACTCAGACCTCCTGGCAACAGACGTGAAGGAAAAGATCCGATCCAAGCGGAAGAGAGGTGGAAAGTGGGTAGCCTTCCTTCAAGACAATGCACACCCCCATACGGCCAAAACAACAAGGGAAACCCTCCGGAAATTGAAATGGAACCTTCTGAAACATTCACCGTACTGTCCTGATTTGGCACCAAGTGATTTCTACCTGTTTGGAAGGCTCAAATCAGACTTGCAAGGCATGCGGTTTGTGGACGACGACGCTGTCATCCAGAATGTTCAGGAGTGGATACGCTGCCAACCACAAAACTTTTTTGAAAAGGGCATCAGGATGCTTCCAGAACGTTGGAAAAAATGTGTTGACTCCAGAGGGGAGTACGTTGAAGACTGACATGTGCAAGTAAGTGTTTGGCAATTTTGGTTTAAAAAAAGAAATCAGCCCCAGTCACATTCGAACCACCTTGTATTAACTATTTCCACATCCTAGGTTTTTTACCTGTATGGATATATGTAAAATAAAGGAAATGAATGAATATTTCTGTAACAGATTTCATACCCATAGCTGTAGTTGTTTATTAGTTACTGCCACCAACTTGATAGCCAAATAATACCTTGATAAACGTTTCATACTTTTTAATGAACTATTACCATGCTTCATTCCAGAACACTAAATTAGGTGACACTAGTGAATTTTGTCATTGATGAGAATAACGATCCATATTTTAGTGAGTTCATGAATAGTTTCTAGAAACTTTCCCAGAGGTGGAAATCACACATTTGCATATAATTGGAATACGATCACCAGAGTTCTTTACTGATATTTATTCAACAAAAATACTCTGTAAAGTATTAATTTTTGTGTAGTGTGTGATAAGCACAGTCATGCTCAAGATACGTGAATTTATTTCCTGTTTTAATTAATTCTTCAAAGAAGATCTCCAGATATCGTCTTATACAACTCTAAATTAACAGTATCAAAAACAAAATGGATCCCATCGTTTTACTAGAATTTAAGAGCATGCCATATCCCAATTCTGATCATGTAATGAAATCCAGTAAATGACATGCAGAATTATATATTCTGATGCCATGTGTGATGTGAATTTATATAACCACATGGAAGGAAACAGGCTTTATCTATTATAAAATGAGGCCAGGGACCAACTATACTGTCACAAATATGACAAGAAAGTCCTATAGAAGTGAATTATTGAAACTGGTTCTGCATACACAGTGTGTCCAGGATCCATTAGGACTCATTTCTTTTCAATTTTGCCCTGCAATTCCATCTGTTGGCGAGTTGTGGCATTAAGATTCTTGAAATTTCAGCTGTGGCTGTGTATAATTTCAAAGCGCAAGCATCACTGCATCATGTGTTCTGCCCTTGAATGTAACAGTACTGTTCTGACACTTGTCAGAAAAATGGCGGTTGAACAGATAGCCAACATCAAATTTTGTTTGAAGTTAGGCAAAACAGCCAGAGAAGTGTACAAAATGATAAAAAAATGTGTACAGTAGTGACTGTTTGAGTAGCTCGAACATTTTTCGATGGTATGCTGTATTTCGTGACAGCAGGGAAGACACTGAAGATGTTCCACGTGCATCAAAGCCAAGAACAAGTCGCACTGAAGAAAATGTGAAGAAACTGACTGAAATACTTGCATCAGACAGATGTGTTTCTGCAAGACTCATCGAGGAGCTTTTGCGGATACCAAAAAGTACTGTGCAACAAATTTTGACCGAGGATTTGGGCAAATGGAAGGTCTGTGCATGGTTTGTACCGCACACACTGTCAGGCGATGAAACACATGCCAGAATGGAACACTGCAAAGACATGTTACGGTTCATCCAAAGTGATAAAAAACTTACAAAATTGACTGTTACTGGTGATAAGATATGGTGTTTTCAATATGAGGCTCTCATAAAGCAGCAGACTGCGGTGTGGTTGAGCCCAAAGCAGCCAAAACCAAAGAAAGCATGCATGCAAAGGGTCAAGTAAAGACACTGCTAACAGTTTTCTTCAATTCCAAAGGAATCATTCACAAGGAATTTCTGCCAGAAGGTCAAACAGTGAATTCTGATTATTAGCTCGGAGTCCTCAATCGTTTGTGAGCAAGAATTCTTCGAATTCGACCTGAATATCGAGAGCAACGTTCTTTGTCGCTCCTCCACGACAATGCCCCACCCCACAAATCGAAGATCGTGCCCGATTTTTTGGCCAGAAAGGGATCACAGTCCTTGATCATCCTCCGTATTTGCCAGATTTGGCTCCAGCAGATTTCTGGTTGTTCCCAAAAGTTAAGTTGGTGATGAAAGAGACCATCACGACACCATCCAGGACATCCAAAGGGAATGTACCGCAGTTTTAAATGCGATTCCACAAAAGGAGTACAGTGACTGTTTTCAAAAACTTTTCAATAGATTCCAGCTATGTATTGATTCAGAAGGAGACTATTTTGAATAGCAAGGGTGAAATTTTGAAAATAATGCACGTCTTGTATTTTTAATGAACACAGTCCTAACAGAACCTGGACACACTGTGTATTTAAATAGGTGCACAATCAATACTCTGTACATAAAATAATTTCAGGTTTCTCATGAGATCATAAATGGTTGCATTAGAGAGACCATTTTCCTGGGACAATCAAAAGAGTGACCTCCTGGGACAAAATATGATCCTTGTTCATTAAGTTCTGAACATTTCTGATGTCAACACATGCTATCAAAAATATATCTAGTTTCATGCATTTTTTGTACAACTGTGAAATATAGAGTTTGCTGGGTGAAGTGAACCTGGATACTTCCAAAAAATTTATGAGTATATTTGTGATGAGGTTTCTTTCTTCTAATAAAATTCTAAACTAGAAATACATATAATTTTTTACTGCATGTTACAATACACACACAAATAAATAATGGATACTTGCAGCTGGCTGACTAAAGAGCAAAAGTTTAATACTTCCTGAAAATGAAATGTGACCTTGCTACCATAGTTATACTGTGTTATCTCCAGTCATTGCCAGTGAGCTAAGAATAAACAGACTTCAAGAAGAAAATAACTGAAATGTTCTATAAACAGAACATTAATATGATGCAGACATTTTATTTGAGAAATTTCTCATGCAAAGTAGATGATTAAACGGGTGATCAGAACTATAGTGTAGGCTCTTTTCCACAAGTAGTAATACTAGAATGAAAAATTATTAACCGTTACAATACAGCATATGATATTGTGAATGCTTGGATACTAGTGGAAGATTCACCCCCAAAAATTTAAAGTTAAGGGGATGGGAAGAGGCTGCTAGGCTTCAATTCATCATAACATCTAGAAAACAATTCTTAGATTCAATGGTGCTTCACTGAGAATTAACTCTTCATTATAGCTATGCAGCAGAATATATTAAAATGTCTCCTGCACACATAACGTATGATGATATAGAGCATAAATAGCACATGTATACAATTTTCCATTTGTATCAGGATATGTGTGGGAATGTCAATGTTTGAAGAGACAACCACATAAAATTATAACAAATAGCATACGAAGATATAGAGCATAAATAGCACATATACATAATTTTCCATTTGTATCAGGATATGTGTGGGAATGTCAATGTTTGAAGAGACAACCATGTAAAATTATAACAAATATTTATTACTGCTAGGATGAATGTTGCAGATGACCAGGGAAACAGAGCGTGCCTGATGAATACCAGCAAAAACTCCCTTCATAGCCAGCTAGCCTGAGCTAGCAGCATTCTTCCTTGCAGCAGCTGGGTTATTGCGAGCTGGCAGGTGGCTGGGCAAAGCTCTTGAAGTAGCAGGCTAGCCTGAGCTAGTGACAGTATTCTTCCTTGCAGTGGCTCAGTGATTGCAAGCTGGCGGTATGCTGTGCTAGGCTCTTGCAATATCAGGCTAGCTGGTGCTTGTGGTGGCAAGGCTGGCTGACCAGCGAAATTCCTGCTGCACCTGGCTGGCCTGATGAGCACTGGTGATCACTGGTGGAGTTGCCTGTTGATTCTTACTACTAGTAGACTCGCAGTTATGGTCAGTGCAAACTAACATGGCAGAGGCCTGCATTTTTATACTTTTGTCACTGGGTGGTGAGAAAACCAATGGGTGCTGGAGCTGCCATGGTGAGCACTTATTGGGTAGTGCCTGTTCCAATGTGGGAGAAGCTCCCACAAATTAATTTAATTGAAACAGGAAAATATTAAATGACGAATCTGCTAACTCCACTAAATTAAATTAAAGATATGTATCTCTTTTTCATAAACTACAGAACTCTAATTTCTTGCAACTGCTGTAAGACTGTAAGATACAAATCTAAGTGTATTTATTTTATGTGAAATGACATAAACACAAGCCTGATGCAGTCACACATTTAGAAGCTGGTACAAAATTGTTGTATTCGCGCAAGTTAGCATTTGTATATGTTCTGCTGTACATGATCAGTAACATGGAAGAAGCATGGCCATACATAATTTCATTAATATGGAGAAAGTTCTAGTGCACTTTACTCTTAAACATACAGTTTCACTATTGTCACATGATGAATCATGGACATTATAATAAAGGAGACTTACGTATTCATAGTCTTGTCCATCACCATTATCATCATCACATCTTTTCTCAGCTTTGCTTTGCTCATATGCAAGCTGATGAGTCTGTTTCAGAATAAGCTGTTTGAACTCCTCTTCAGTATGAGCTTCTATCAGTTTCTGCCTGAAATTTATGTCTGCCAGTATTGTTGAAAATGTCCTTCCCATTTCCACAGCATTCTTGGTCCCTTTCTGCACATTGCAGGGAGAATATGTAGGGTTATTACAGCTTAAATAAGCATGTTCTTAAATATAGTTTGAAAAAGTAATAATATTACAAAACAGTATTTCAAAATTTATGTCAAATCTACTCAACATGAGCTCAGTTGGTAATTCTCAAAACATTCAATCTTTTACGATGTTTCTTTTCTTCATTTATGGAATAACTTAATAAATTCAATGTTATGGTCAAACATAATTGTTAGGGGTGGCAAATAACATATTTCCATACAAGAACTCCATGGAAGGTGGAACCAGTAATCAAGGATGTCAATGTTTAAGACTTCCATGACCAACATCCATGTTCCAGGAATTGTTTATTTGTGATCAGAAGTATTTTTAGTTGTGTCATCATAAAAAAAAAATATCAACACAGAAAACAAAGGACATGCTTAAGTATACAAATTTATTCAGTGTGGTTGAAAATAGACATTTTATTTATAATTCCATCCCACTTGGAGGCTGGTTAGAATATTCCAACTGTAGCTGTGAAATTCATAGAAGGTGATGGAAAGGGAACCTAGTGCCTAGGGGTATAATTGGAACACCCTGTCACTGGGGGACATTAATACAGAGACCTAGTCCTACAGGTTGGGATTTGGATGCAAAGCTGATGACCTTGCTCTGCAAAAGTTATTGTTGCAAAATCCAACGAAGTGAAAACCAGTCTGTCTAATTCAACAGACATATCTGGCATATTTTTTAAGGAAGACTTTGCCAGTGACGATGATGACTTACAATTAAATCATATTTTTCATTGGTATCTATAAAAAAGAGTTTGTGAAATTATGGCTTGAATCTGCCTCTTCCATTTGCTGATGACTGATCAAAAGTTATCTTGCAACAAGAGAAGCCACATATTTAGTTCTTTGTTCCAGTAACTCCAAGAACTAAGATGGTTTCCTCTTGTTTCTGTATATCAGCTGTATAAGTTCATTGCAAATGAGGAAGCCTAATGGATTTAAATTTAGGGAATATTGTGGACATGCTGTGGATATGACACACTCAAGTGCAATATCATCTATCACATTCAAACAGTGGATAATATTGTAGCATGTAGACCCGTTTCTAAGTAATGACTCTGTAAGAAATGCCCACTGCTAGCTAGCAGATTCCTAACACACATCAATGTACTAACTGGGAAGGAATGTTCTCTACATGGGCTGTGAAACAGCTGCATGATGCAACAATAAAAGAGCTGCTGGGATAGGTGTTTTCTGTGCAGTCCAGGCTGAACTGTTATAAGCAGGAGAAGTCACAATGTAGTAAGTTGTGAGACAGTCCCTAGGCAGTAAGGACATGAATATGAAAGCTGAGGGAGCTATGGCATTTTATTTAAAAGTTGTTACTTGTTCTTTGATGGAAAAGAAGTTTGGATTTTGATTAGATATCACTCCGAAACTTGAGTTTCTGGTCTAACGAAGGAAGAATTTACATTTGGGAGCCAAAATGTGTTATTTTTGTGTATATGGTTGTTCTATAATTTTTGTATTGCTTCTTCCATCACATAATGTAATGTTACAAGAGGTACATAGCTGCAGGTGCAATTTGACCAGCAGGCAGGCAGAATTCTCAGGTCATCAAGTTTTCCAAGAATCTGGCACAGTATGTCGGTTGTGTAATATCACTGTTTTTATTATCATCATTTATTATAATTCAGCAATCCATACATACAGGTATTACAACCATTTGGATAATATTCATGATGTGTCATACAATCACTGATGTTCTTCACCTTTGCTATTATTTTTAGGATTTCCAAAAGGATTTGCTTTGGAAAATTTTCAGTATATTTATTATTGATTTATGTGTCAATATTCCTTTTTGTCACTTTAAATTTTTTCTGATCTAAAAAATGTTGTGTCATAAAGTTTGCTGANATATATATTTTAGTTATTTTAGTATGTAAAGACAAGGCATGCAATGAATTAGTTTGTCGTGGATTGGATCAGCACCTGAAGATGGCACATTGGTGCCGAAACATGTAGTGAGAGTGAAAAGAGGGGATAAATAAATGTATGCACTAGAAGACGGATAAAATAAATCATGGACTTAAATCAGTGCAACAGGACGCTAAAATATAACATGAAGAAAATCTAGTTTCTTTCAATTATGAAAGTAACAGCATCCACTTTAATTACTATGCTGGTAATGTTTTAATCCCACATGTTTATTATTATTGTTGTGGTTGTTATTATTTATTATTAAAAGTCCTAGTGTTATGTTTGATGGAAGCTGACTACATATATTCTCAAACATGAAAGTTGCAAGGGCTGAATCATCTCATTACATATGTTTTTCTTTTCTTAATGATCTGATAGTGTTAAACAATACCTTAGGTCAAAGCTCAAGTATGCCTCTGTTGTCTGGAATATCCTTACGTTTTATCACTTAAACTTTAAAATGCCCTACGGCATATGGCAATATCTCAGTGGTTTATTTATTGTTAACATTTCGTGGGACAAATTCGGTTCATTCTTCTATTATGGATACTGTTAATCTTCATACAGGCCTACCCAATTTGGAACGTTTCCTTCTTTAAAGCAATTAATTTTTCAAGGCTCTGCCCCTCATCAGGATTTGCTGTAGATGCAATTGGCACCTTGTCAATAATTCAATTCATTTCATAACATTAAATAGCTTGTAACAGTGGAGTCGGGACAGCACAGTCATTAAATGACTGGCTACAGGCTGGACAGCTGGGGGGTCAGAGTTCTAGTCCCAGCAGAGGCAAGATTTTTCTGCTCTCCATGTCATCTAGACTCGTTACGGGTCCTGCCAAACTTCTTATCCAACTGGTATCAGGGCTCTTTCCCTGGTGGAAAGACCCAGAACATGAAGCTGACCACTCACCTTCAAATAGTACCAGGGTCAAGGATACATGGTCCATACTTCCACTCTTCTGTACATTCTAATGGCATAGTGTTAATTAGTTAAGCACAGGGACAACTTTGCTTTTAATAGGGAAGCGCTATCAAATGTTTGCAAAGAATAAAGAAGGTACTCAGTGCAGAACTTGTATAGCTTACTTTCCTTTTATGAATTGCATCTATCTTTACTGCTGTCTTTATAGCAACATTTCTTGGAAAGTGATCACAAAATAGGTTGAGGAAACATCTGAACAAAGTGGCAATTCTGTGTTGCTCTGAATTAGCTTCACATGGAGTCACATAACCTTATGTGCAATCTGAAGCCCATGTTTGAAACTGAGCAAGAGCCATCTGAAAGTGGTCCACATATCCCAGTGCTCTATTTAGAATGGAGGTGTTGCAGAAGTTCATATTGTGCCCTTTTTCAAATCTGTGTTCTGCCACTACTGACTCCTCTGACATGCCCAGATGTACATACTTCACATGTTCCTTACATCTGATCTCAGTTGTAGTGTCTGTCTGTCCAGCATACACCTTGCCACACTCACACACTCACATATGCTAGCAAATTTTAGGCCTACTTTGTGTCCTATGTCATTGAGCATATTGATACTTTAATTCACAGGAATATGAATTGTATTAACAATGAGTTTTGAGAGAAGCTTGATAATTCTGTTGGAGACAGCTTGTTGATATGTTATCACATTAACATAGTTTTTTAATTTACTGTTGATATGCTGTAAAATTAGAGAAATGCAAGTAAATATATTTCATAGTTCTATACCATGTTTATCCTTTGAAGCAATAAATATTTAGCTGCAATGCATGAATATACAGTATGCAGAATTGTAAAGAGTTCAATGTAAAAAAAAGGAGCACAAATTCCATTCCTGTTACTCATTAAAATAAAAAATTAACAATGCCTTTCATACTCTTAGGTTTATGCTATACAGTCCGACACAACTGCAGCATCATCAAAAACCCATAAATAAATAAATATATATTTTAGTTTAGCCCAGCCTCATGAAAATATTGTAGATGTAAATGAAAAAGTGCTTACCTCCTTGCTGGGACATATCACAAGAACAAAGAGTCTTACTTCATAGCTCGTACGTCCAAAGTTTGCAGGGTGTTTGAGGCGAGTGATTGCAACTCGTCTGCGTTGGAGTGTTGGCAGATTACAACTGAAATAAGGCAATTTACTGTTACAAACTTCTTGTGAGAAGGAATTATTCACTAAACCAGTCACTGACATTTCATTCCATCAAATCTCCATAGGCATTACCACCAGTAAAGGTACGATAGGACATATGGAGGATTTAAGAACACAGAAACTGTTTTCAAGACTAATTATACTGTCATATTATTATCTCTGTATTACTATATTATT